CCCCTAAGTAGCTGGGATTACAGGGACATGCCACCACACCTGGCTAATTTTTGTAGTTTTAGTGGAGACAGGATTTTACCATGTAGGCCAGGCTGGTCTCAAACTCCTGACCTCAACTGATCTACCCACCTTGGTCTACCAAAGTGCTGGGACTACAGGTATGAGCCACCATGCCTGACCTAATATACATTTTGCATATGCATATTAACATATGTAACACACACATTGTATTTATACTATATATTTGTATATATAATGTATATATACATATATACAATATAAATATGTATATTATATAAATATTATATAGTATATGTATATTTATATATTATATAATATATACACATTATATACATATATGCAGAAATGTAAATAATAAATAATATAATATAATATAAAATAATATAAAGTACAGAAATGTGGGAAAATATTGAAAATGGATTAGGTGAATTTTCTGTAACATTTCTATAATTTGATTTTTAAAAAATTACTAGAATAGGTAATTTCTTTTTGGTCTGCCACATATTTTTTACTTTTTAGATATTAAAAAAAAAATTTTTTTGAGATGGGAGTTTTGTTCGTTGCCCAGGCTGGAGTGTAATGGCGTGATCTCAGCTCACTGCAACCTCTGCCTCCTGGGTTCAAGCGATTCTCCTGCCTCAGCCTCCCAAGTAGCTGGGATAACAGACACGTGCCACCATGCCCGGCTAATTTTGTATTTTTAGTAGAGACAGCATTTTGCCATATTGGCCAGGCTGGTCTCGAACTTCTGTCCTTATGTGATCTGCCTGCCTCAGCCTCCCAAAAGGCTTGGATTACAGGCATGCGCCACCATGCCTGGCCAGTCTTCCACATATTCTAAAACTATAATGGTTAAAACAGTACTGGTATGATAAAAGATAAATCACTAGGAGGGGAAAAAAATAACACAAATACACAGGCGTACCCTGGATATAGCACAAGTTTACTCCCAGACATCACAAAAAAGCAAATTTTGTAATAAAGCAAGTCACAAAACCTTTGGTTTCGCAATGCATATAAAAGCGTGCAATAGCATTATGTCTGAAAAAACAATGTACATAGCTTAAGTACAAAATATAATACTTCATGACTACAAAATGCTAATGATCACCTGACTCTTCAGTGAGTCATAATTTTTTCAGTGGTGGAGGATCTTGCTTCAAATGTTAATGGCTGCTGACTTAACAGGGTGGTTGTTGAAGGTTGGTGTGGCTATGGCAATTTCTCAAGATGGCAGTGAAGTTTGCTGTATCGATAGATTCTTCCTTTCATAAAAGATTTCTCTGCAGCACTGATGCTGTTTGACAACATTTTCTTCACAGACCTTCTTTCAAAACTGGAGACAACCCTCTCACACCCTTATCACTGCTTTATCAACTACATTTATGTAATATCCTAAATTCTTCGTTGTCATTTTAACAATGTTCACAGCACCTTCACTAGGAGTAAATGCCATCTCTTTCATTGCTTATCCATAAGAAGCAACTCCTCATCTCTTCAAGTTTGAGCAGGAGATTGCAGCAACTCAGGCTCATCTTCAGGCTCCACTTCTAATTCTAGTTCTCTTGCTATCTCCACTACATCTGAGTGACTTTCTTTACTTGTCTTAACCCCTCAAAGTCATCCATGAACACTGATATCAACTTCTTCCAAACTCCTGTTAATGCTGATAGTTGGACCTCCTCCCATGAATCACGAATTTCTTAATGGCGTCTAGAATGGTGGATCCTTCCCAAAAGTTTCTCAGACGCATCAGCGGAATCACTTTCTATGGCAGCCATAAGACTTAACGCAATGTTTTTTTCTTAAATAATTAAGGCTTGAAAGTAAAAATTCCTTTTGCTGTGTTAGCAGTCATGAATAATGAGAGAAGTGTGACTCTTCCACTTGAACATTAAGAAACACTGTAGAGTTATTAAGTGGCCTAATTTCAATACTGTTTTGTCTCAGGGAATAGGGAGCCTGCGAGGGAAAGGGATTAGGGAAGGGCCTGTCATGGAGCAGTCAAAACACACATAACATTAATGGATTAAGTCCACCATCTTATGTGGGAACAGTTCATAGTGCCCCAAAACAATTACAATAGAAACATCAAAGATTACTGACCACCAATCACCATAACAGATTTAATACTAACAAAAAAGTCTGAAATAACCAAGATTTACCAAAATGTGACACAGAAACACTAAGTCGGCATATGCTTTTGGGAAAATGGCACTGATAGCCTTGCTTGATGCAGGGTTGCCGCAAACCTTCAATTTGAAAAAAACCACGCAATAAAGCAAAGCACACTAAAATGAGGTATGCCTGTGTAACAACTCAGTAAAGGAAGGCACTAGGAACTTCTAGTTGAACTGGTTATCATTTAAAAAAAAAAAAAAAAAAAAAAAAGTCAAGCATATAGACAATGTAGGCTCCCCAAACAGCTAGAAAGTTTTAAGGTATCTTCAAAACATTAAGAACAACTGAGGGTCAACAGTAATAAACATTTTGGTAGCTCTTCAGCACCCCTGCTCTAAAAGGTATTTTCTCTGAGTTCTTATTGTAAGCACACAGCTGGAACCTTAAAAAGTGAGCTTTCATGGTTGTATTAAGAAGTGGTTGAGGGTTGGGTGCAGTGGCTCATGCCCGAAATCCCAACACTTTGCGAAGCCAAGGCAAGCAGGTCACTTGAGGTCGGGAGTTCAAGACCAGCCTGGCCAACATGGGGAAACCTCGTCTCCACTAAAACTACAAAAACTAGCCCAGCGTGGTGACGCAGGCCTATAATTCCAGCTACTCAGGAGGACAAGGCGGAAGAATCGCTTGAACCCAGGAGGTAGAGGTCACAGTGAGCAGAGACCACGCCACTGCACTCCAGCCCGTGTGACAGAGTGAGACTCCATCTCAAACAAACAAAAAAGAAGTGGTTAAATATAGAATTTCTGTATTTTCAACAGTATCTTAAGAGATATTTATCAGAGCTGCTAAAATGAACAAGAGTACAATCTAGTCATATTTGAGTCATGCACTCAAACTTCATACACATGGTTAAAAATATGTGTTTAAGAAATTAACAAACTTAAAGCCACAAAACCTTTTTTTTTTTTTTTTTTTTTCTTTTTTTGAGATGGAGTCTCTCGCTCTGTCACCCAGGCTGGAGTGCAGTGGTGCAATCTCGGCTCATTGCAACCTCTGCCTGCTGGCTTCAAGCGATTCTCCTGCCTCACCCTCCCAAGTAGCTGGGACTACAAGCGCCCGCCACCGTGCCCGGCTAATTTTTGTATTTTTAGTAGAGACAGGGTTTCGCCATATTGGCCAGGCTGGTCTTGAACTCCTGGCCTTGTGATCCGCCCACCTTGGCCTCCCAAAGTGCTGGGATTACAGGTGTGAGCCACCGCGCCCAGCCCCTAAAGCCACAAAACTTTTAATGTCACATAAGTATGCTCTTTTATCCAACAATAAAAATGGAGGAATAAGACATATGCAATGAACATAAGCAACAGAAAACAAAAATAACAATAGAAGACAACATTGTGAAGCTGTCATGAGTCAGTACTAGGACAATAATGATGGTATGGTAAGTCTAAAAATTTTGATACAGTAGATGAAACAGAGATGTACACTTATTCTCTACCTGGAGAAAGAGAAAAGGATAAAAAGAATATCTTAGCTCTCTCATTCGCTTTCAAATTAGAAGCATGGCTTGAAAATATGAGTGAATTTTATTTAGGCTGCTGGTCTGAGATAAAGAGAGGATGGGAAGTTGGTGTCAGCAACACATTTAAAAAAAGACAGGGTAAAATATTTAGTGTCTTTTCACAAACTACAATAAGAACGCCTAACATAATCAGGGACATTTGTAGGGACCAAGAAAATGACTAATGTTATGCAATTCAAATGAATTAATCACAGCAATAATAAAGTACTGTTTTCATAATTAACTTTTTTTTTTTTTTTTTTGAGACAGAGTCTCACTCTGTCGCCAAGGCTGAAGTGCAGTGGCACCATCTTGGCTCACTGCAACCTCTGCCTCCCAGGTTTAAGCGATTCTCCAGCTTCAGCCTCCCAAGTAGCTGGGGACTACAGGCGCATGCCACTGCATCTAGCTAATTTTTAAATTTTTAGTAGAGATGGTGTTTCACCATGTTGGCCAGGTTGGTCTCGAACTTCTGACCTCAGGTGATTCACCCTGCCTTGACCTCCCAAAGGGCTGGGATTATAGGCATGAACCACTGCGCTCAGCCCATGATTAACTTTTAATATAAGATTATTATTTTATCTGTTGAAATTCTTACTGCTTTAGAGCAATAAAGTATCATCTAAGCATTCTATATTACCAAATGGAAATGAATGAGATAACCCCTAAATACTACCTACACTTAATGATGGAGTTGATATTTTGGTCTACATGAATGTCTACAGTGTACAAAATAACTCCTTCCTTTTTCATACTGAATCAAGTAGAGTAATTATTCTACCGAAGTCTTTTTCAGATTAGGCAAAATTTGTTGAATTCCTGCCCCTTCTACTCTAACTTGTATATATGAGTGTACAAAGGTCTAAAGTCTATTAAAGGCTGCTATGTTAATTTATGGTTCTAATATAAAAACTAAGCCATGCTTAATGTGATTAATACCTAGAACAGGGCTGGAATATACCCATCATCAATTTTCATTACATAATGAATAAACTGAAAGTTTTAAAATTGCTGCCATAGATATTAATGGTATTTTTCCTAAGAGAGCAAAGTCTACCTTAACATTAACATTTTTACGGTATGTTATAGCAAAAGTTTTCTATTTTTTCTACTCTAACACATAAGCCGATATAATATACTTATCAGTAATATTCAATTACTACAGCAATAATTCTCTCAAAAGAGGCAGCTGCCCTAAGAATTATCAATTATTTTCTATAAAAGGCTTCTGATAATCATATGACTTCAGAAAAACTTAACTTTCTAGAGTCATACAGAAGGAATATCAATAAACTCCTACCTGTTCTGGCATGGCTCCATGTTCAATTCCAGTCTTCAATAATCTGTAGCAATTACCAAAGAGATCCCATTTTGTGAGATCATGTGCACTGAAATAAACAAAAATGCATTTGTTTTATTCTAGAATGGAAAGAAATTTAAATTTGAGCTCAGTTCAAGTGAGTGGAAAAATAAAATAATTTCATTTCGGTTGGGCACAGTGGCTCACGCCTGTAATTCCAGCACTTTAGGAGGCCACGGCTGGCAAATTACTTGAGGTCAGGAGTTTGAGACCAGCCTGGCCAACATGGTGAAACCCCCGTCTCTACTAAAAATACACACACAAAAATTAGTTGAGCATGGTGGTGCATGCCTGTAGTCCCAGCTACTTGGGAGGCCGAGGCAGGAGAATCACTTGAACCCAGGACACAGAGCAGTGAAACAAGATTGCACCACTGCACTCCAGTGTGGGTAACTGAGCAAGACTCTGTCTCAGAAAAAAAAAAAAAATTTTTTTTTTCACTTCCATAAAGGGAACGCTCATTAAATGCTCAAATGTGAAAGAAAGGTAGAAAGGAAAAGGAAATAAAAAGAGATGATTCTAAGAATTTATTAAAGAAATCAACAAAAACAAAACCTCACATATTTAACTCAAAGTTTCTACCATGTGGTTTAAGCTCACATTCTATTCCATATATGGATAAACTCCCTTTATTGTATATATAAAAGTACCTTTTTTGTTTTATTTTTATTTTTTTTAAGACAGGGTCTCGCTCTGTCGCCTAGGCTGGAGTACAGTGGCAAGATCTCGGCTCACTGCAATCTCTGCCTCCTGGGTTCAAGAGATTCTCATGCCTCAGCCTCCTGAGTAGCTGGGACTACAGGCATGTGCCATGACACCTGGCTAATTTTTATATTTTTGTAGAGATGGGGTTTCACCATGTTGGCCAGGCTGGTCTTGAACTCCTCGACTCAAGAGATCCACCCGCCTTGGCCTCCCAAAATGCTGGGATTACAGGTGTGAGCCACCGCGTCAGGTCTATTTAAAAGTACATTTTAAAGAACTCCATTTACAATTTAAAAATAAAACCACACGCATATTTTTGAAAGAGAGATCTGTATTCCCAAAATGGAGATAAAGACAAAGGCAAGGAAAAATGGGAAAGCTCAAAAACTGCACTATAGCTATTTACTTGGGCTGAGGACTTATGAATGTGATAATGGTAAATTTTTATATTCTCATGAGCTCTACTACTAAAAATAGTCATTCTGACACTAGTAACTTCTGTTTTCAAATGACAGTTTTTTTTCTTTTAATAAAAGTTTGCTTTTCTAGGGAATTCTAAAAAAATTTACTTGTATATAAAGACTTAGATTTTGGAAACTGATTTTTAATTTTGAAGTACTGATCAGTGTAAAAACTATATTCAAACTCTCTTTGGACAACAAAGTTCTTTTTGTCCTTTCTTCATGGAGAAGACCGGCATATCTCATTACAAGGGAAGTGAAAATTACAATTTGACAACACAAATTTCAGTGATCTGAATCTTTCTTCCTTATTCAAATTCACCTGTTCTACTGACATAGTAAGAACACAATAACCAAGCATACAGGAACAATTCAGGAAAAAAGCTCACAAGAGTAACTCATGACTTTCCTGAAAATCTTATTTATTTTTGTCCTTTATGTTAACAAATAAAAATTAGTATATACTTATTGTATACAGCATGTTGCTTTGAAATATGTATAAACTGTGGAATGACTAAATTGAGCTAATTAACATATCAATTACTTCACACACTTATCATTTCTTTCTTGTGGTGAGAACACTTAAAATCTACTCTTAGTCGGGTGCAGTGGCTCATGCCTGTAATCCCAGCACTTTAGGAGGCCGAGGGAGGAAAACTGCTTAAGCCCAAGAATTTAAGACTATCCTGGGCAACATGGCGAAACCCCGTCTCTAGAAAAAATAAAAAAAATTAGCCCAGTGTGGTAGCATGTTCCTGTAGTTCCAGTTACTTGGGAGACTGAGGTAGGAGGATCCCTTGTACACAGGAAGTTGAGGCTGTAGTGAGCCGTGATTGTGCCACTGCACTCCAGCCTGGGTGAGAGAGCAAGACTCTGTCACAAAAATTTTTTTTGAAAAAATAAAAATATTAAAATCTACTCTCTTGGCAATTTTCAAGAATATAACACATTGTTTTTAACTATAGTCACCATGTTGTACAATAGATGGGTTGAATTTATTACTCCTAACTGAAATTTTATATCCTTTGACCAATATAAGCCCAACTGTCCTCCAGATTTTCTTTCTTTCTTTTTATTTTTTTCTGAGACGGAGTTTTGCTCTTGTTGCCCAGGATGGAGTACAATGGTACCATCTCTGCTCACTGCAACCTCTGCCTCCTGGGTTCGTGCAATTCTCCTGCCTCAGACCTCCCGAGTAGCTGGGATTACAGGCACACACCACCACGCCCGGCTAATTTTTTGTATTTTTAGTTGAGACGGGGTTTCACCATGGCCAGGGTGGTCTTGAACTCCTGACCTCAGATGATCCACCTGCCTCGGCCTTCCAGAGTGCTGGGATTACCTGTAGCACTCTAGCTGATGAAATAAGCCTGTCTAATTTGTTAAATACTCATGGGCTTAAACTTTTACAGTATATATTCATTACATTAAATGACAGCTAAATCATTATAGTAAATACATTTTATACCTTAAGTAATTAAATGACAGGCCAGGCACAGTGACTTACGTCTGTAATCCCAGCACTTTGGGAGGTCGAGTGCCAGTGGATCGCTTGAGGTCAGGAGTTCAAGACCAGCCTAGCCAACATGGTGAAACCCATCTCCATTAAAAATATAAAAATTAGCTGAGCATGGTGGCGCACACCTGTGGTCCCAGCTACTTGAGAGGCTAAGGCATAAGAATCACTTAAACCTGGGAGGCAGAGGTTGCAGTGATCTGAGATGGCACCACTACATTCCAGTCTGGGCAAGAGAGTGAGACTGTGTCAAAAAAAAAAAAAAAAAAAAAAAAAAAAAAAAAAAAAAAAGTAGTTCAGTGATAGCAAAACATAAATCATATAATCATCAAGATAAATCCGAATAAAGGAAAAACATCTCAATATTCCTCTAAAATTTCCATTTTTAAAAAAACATCTATTTTGTTTTAATTGAGATAGAATCTGCCTATTGCCCAGGCTGGTCTCAAACTCGTGGGGCTCAAGCAATCCACCTCCCTTGGCTTCCCAAAATGCTGGGATTATAGGTGTGAGTCATCACACCAGGCCTAAAATTCCCATTGTTATTACTGTCAAACACAATAGGCAGTCACTGTGTGCTGGCTGTTACATGTCATTCACTGAATCTATTTTATCTTTCTGTTGTTATTGAGATTAGATCTCACCATACTGCCCATGCTGAAGTGCAGTGGCTATTCACAGGTACTATCATGGGCCAGTGCCATGATCAAGTGCAGCCTCGAACTCCTGGGCTCAAGTGATCTTCCTTCCTCAACCTCCTCAGTGGCTGGGATCATAGCTCTGTGCCTGCACACTTGGGTTACTACATTTACTTTATTTATTTTTTGAGACAGCCTGTTGCCCAGGCTGGAGTGCAGAGGCGCGATCGCGGCTCATTGCAACCCCCACCTCCTGGGTTCAAGCGATTCTCCTGCGTCTCCTGCCTCAGCCTCCTGAGCAGCTGAGACCACAGGTGCACACTCTCATGCCCAATTTTTGTGTTTTTTGTACAGACAGGGTTTTGCCAGGCTGGTCTCCAATTCCTGGCTTCAAGCAATCTGCCCACCTCGGCCTCTCAAAGTGTTGGGGTTACAGGCATAAGCCACCTCGTTGCCTTTACTTTAAACAAAATAACGTACTTGTGAAAAGAAGTTAACCGCTTTAATGTAGAAAGAACATTGTAAATATCATCATCATCAGCTTCTTCTCCCTATAAAAAAAAGGAAACATCACATCATTACCACAACTTTACTCACATTATAGTATATTACTATTTACTGCCTATTCTTTTAAATTATATAAATAGTATATATTCATTGTAGATCCACAATACAAATAAGCAAAAAGGCAAAAACACCCATAACTCTAACAACCTAGAAATAATTTCTGCATTTTAAATGTTGTGATAAACATGACTTTGAAAAGCTTTCTGATTAATACTATAAGATAAAACCCTTTAAAATTTCTAAGTGAAAGGTATGTACTTGAAAGACTTTCAATGATTATTTCCAATATTTTATTGTCAGTCACTTTTGTAGCTTGAAAATCACAATGAATGAAAAATCATAAATAATAGTTGAGTTCCAATAGTAGGAAAGAGTCTTTTATAAATCAGTTACGTGGTCATTAGAGCACAGAGAACTATGGAAGTCCCAGATTGCCTTACATAGATTGATGACAGAGAGGGAAAGAGGAAGAAGTCACAGAAATAATTAGAAAATAAGCAATTGGGAGATGCCTGCTGATATCTTGGGCATACCATTGATAAGCAGGCATCCTTAAAAGCAGACTTAATTTGCATGCTCTATTCATTAGCATATCACAATAATTCAGCAATATTAAAATGTAAATAAGGTCCTAGAAATAGAAAATGAGTTAGGAAAAATCAGACTTGAAAGAGACTTTTTTTTGCTGGATGTGGTGGCTCGTGCCTGTAATCCCAGCACTTTGGGAGGCTGAGGTGGGCAGATCACTTGAGATCAGGGGTTCAACACCAGCCCGGCCAACATGGTGAAAGCCCGTTTCCACTAAAAATAAAAAAATTAGCTGAGCGTGGCCACAGGTGCCTGTAATCCCAGCTACTCCAGAGGCTGAGGCAGGAGAATCACTTGAACCTGGGAGGCAGAAGTTGCGGTGAGCAATGAGCTGAGATCGTGCCACTGCATTCTAGCCTGGGTGACAAAGCAAGACTCTGTCTCAAAAAAAAAAAAAAAAAAAATTCTTGAAAGAGAAAAAAAATTCTAGTTTTTATGACAGATTTTTAGAATAAAAATAAGGCATAACCAAGGCTGATCTTTATAGAATACACAATTATAATAAGGTTGCTAAGTTTTGGAAGGGGCAGACAATTCTACTGGATTTCATTTTAAAATGAAAATGCTTTACACACTCAGCTATCTTAAATTCTTAGTCTATATTATTATATGTACACATTAACTTTAGAACAGACCTCTTGCAATAGGTCTTCCACAGAATGATTGAATCGATCTACAAACTCATCAATCAGCTGGCTTCGAGCTATGTCAACTCTGTTCTGGATGGTATATTCTTCACTGCATAAGATGCTATAGGTTTTACTGCAGGCTTCTAGAACATCTGATTCTACATGTTTCTCCACAACAAACTTAATCTGTTTTAATAAAGCATCCAGATGCTGAGAAGACAAAAAAAGAAAAACTGTAATATTTAGATTAATAAAAAATAAAAAATTAGCATCTGTCAAATAACAAGCCTATAAGAGTACATGAAAATAATTCAGTTAATAAAACTATAATAGCTGAATTTCAATTTCACAGTATCATTACCTTTTCCATTCTACCTGTGCTGTAGATTTCTAAATCAAAATACTGTGGGATTTGTAGCAAGTTTGCTACCTTCTCTGCATCTGCAGAATACTAGAAGGAGAAGAAGCAAAGAAAAATACAGTAACTACTTTAATAGTACAATGAAAGCAAACTCAGTGACATAACAAAACTGTAAATGAAACTGTACCTTTGACAGTAACATAGGAAGTGTAATAATAAAATGTTCAGTCAATTTGTTTCTATCATCAATTTGAGTTTTCCTTTCTTTGGCAGTTAGCACCTAGAAACAAAGTCGGAAAAGAATTAAAGGGTGTTGTGCTAAATTATAAATCCAAAATGTTACATATATTGATGAAGCACTGGCAAATAATATAACCAAAAATTTAAGAGAGGCTTAATGACTGAAACAAATACACGAAAATTTATGCAAATTTTTACATAACATGCACTACTACCTTATCAAACAGCTAAAGTTTGGGCGAAGTGCTATCTGTTTATGTCAAATAAAAATATACACATTTTAATAAAACCATAGTTACCATTATTAAAATACTGAAACCAATCAAACCCAATTTTTCTAGGGTTTTAATCTCAACGTGTTAACAGTGATCTTCCTATGTTAAATATATACACACTTTTTAAAGTAATGCTTTTTAAATACCAACAGAAGTTAATATATTCTCACTTATTTTTAAAGCATACACTAATAATATCTCTGGATTCATTTACATTTGAGTCTCCTTGTAACTAAGCTCATAAATCTGTTATACAGCAATCAACAAAAAAGAGTATAGTTTGTGCTCATGGAACAAATTTAAGCTGATAATGCTCATCACTTTAGCCTGTATCCAACTTGTGAAACCACAGGTGACTCCAAAAATAAAATATTAAAATGCAAACTCAGTTTAACATAATAATTTCCCCTAAGTATTCTGCATTTTATTATCTTGAAGGGCTTTGCCATCATCATGTCGAATTATTTTACAGAACAGGAACATTCCAATATAAATTGCCACTTTATAAATGTGAACCCCAATGTTTATGTGCAAGAAATAATAGCACTGCCTATTTGTTGTTCAGTCTTTTTTTTTTATTTTTATTTTTGAGACAGAGTCTTGCTCTGTCACCCAGGCTGGAGTGCAGTGGCACGATCTCGGCTCCCTGCAACCTCTGCCTCCTGGGTTCAAGTGATTCTCCTGCGTCAGCCTCCTGAGTAGCTGGGACTATGGGTATGTGCCACCATGCCTGGCTAATTTTTGTATTTTTGTAGAGATGGGGTTTTACTATGTTGACGAGGCTGGTCTCAAACTCCTAACTTCAAGTGATCCACCACGCCCAACCTTGTTGTTCAACCTTTTAAGCATATAAAATAATCACCTGTGAATGATCTACCAACCACTGTGTTTAGCTCTGCACAAAGCAATTAAGGGAACTACATGTATGTCTAGGAATGTATTCAAGATATTGAAAAGTCTTGAAATTCATTTGACAATGTATGAAACGTCTAAGGATACTGATTTCAGGGAAATGCTATTTTTGATGGCACGATCTTTTATTTATTTATTTTTGAGACGAAGTCTCGTTGAGACACCCAGGCTGGAGTGCAATGATGCGATATTGGCTCACGGCAACCTCCGCTTTGCTTCCTGGGTTTGAGCGATTCTCCTGCCTTAGCCGCCCAAGTAGCTGGGACTACAGGTGCGTACCACTATGTCCGGCTAAGTTTTGTATTTTTGGTACAGACGGGTTTTCCCCATATTGGCCAGGCTGGTCTAACTCCTGACCGCAAGTGATCCGCCCACTTCGGCCTTTCAAAATGCTGGGATTACAGGCGTGAGCCACTGCACCCAGCCTGAGTGGTCATTTTGTTAGACATGCTACACACTTGAACTCATCTAGTCCTCAAAATACCTCTGAGGGGATAACAAAAATGGTATGACACCTATGAAGAAGGAATTTGCCAACATCTAACAAAATTGTACACATATTTTTCCTCTGACCTAGCAGTACCAATTCTATCTCACCAACACACCTGGTACAAGTAATGAGATATGCATACGATTATTCATTATTTTATTTTATTTTTTTTCTGAGACGGAGTCTTGCTCTGTCGCCAGGCTGGAGTGCAGTACTGCAATCTCAGCTCACTGCAACCTCTGACTCGCTGGTTCAAGAGATTCTCCTGTCTCAGCCTCCCGAGTAGCTGGGATTACAGGCACGCACCACCATACCCAGCTAATTTTTGTATTTTTAGTAGAGACGGGGTTTCATGTTGGCCAGGATGGTTTCAACCTCCCGACCTCGTGATCTGCCTACCTCGGCCTCCTAAAGTGTTGGGATTACAGGCGTGAGCCACCATGTCCAGCTGATTATTCATTATTTCTAGTAGCAAAAGACTAGCAACAGTCCAAAAGACTGTGCATAGGTGAACTTTCAGTAGTGCATCCATCTAATAGACACTATACAACCAGAAGAAAATGAAGACCTCCAAATAAAGATATGAACTGATTTCCAGGATACACTGCTAAAAAAAAGAAAGGTATAAAATAGTGTATAAAGTATACTATCTTTAGTAAAAGATTAGGGGGTGAGTGGAATGGGAAATATGAATACATATATCTGTATGTGTACATGCCTTTACCTATCTGTGCAAAATGAAACACCTGAAGAATAAACCAGAAATGAATAAAAATGGTTACTAATAAGAATGAGGTGTAGAGAAAGGTATATAAATAAGACTTCTCTCACTACATCTTTTCACATGTTTTTGACTTTTTAACTATGTAAATGTTTTACCTATTTCAAAAAAATAAGTTTGGGAAAAAACTCATAAATTTGAAGAGGTAAAACCCCTGTTAGGCTAAATTTAGGTCAAATATAAAAATGAATGTATGATTTAAATGTATATACATAAATATACATTTATTACTCTGTCTACTAAAAGTACCTAGCAGAAATCATAAGCAATTAACAGTAAGTACATCCTCTTAACTGAGTACCAGTATTTTAATCTTTAAATACTACTCTGTATTAAAAGGAACCATGGCTCATTGGAGAAATGGCTGATTCTTGTGCTAGTGTGGAATCTAAAATTCAAGTAAATCTCAATGATCCCTACCTTCCATGTATTCATGCCCTTATACAACCTCGTCCTACAATGTATAAAGCTGACTTGTATAACCAATAGGATATTTTGAAAACGATATTGTGTAATTTTTGAGGTTATGTTATAAAAGACATGGCAGTGTCTACCTTATTCTTTTGGATTATTCACTCTAGGAAAAGTCAGCAGCCATGTCATGAAAACATTCAAACAGTCCTATAGAGAAACCCACATGGTGAAGCACTAAGATCTACCAATGGTCAGCACTAACTTGTAAGCCATTGTGGAAGTGGATTCTGTAATTCCAAGTCAAGTCTTCAGATGCTAAAGCCCAGGCTAACGTCTTGACTGCAACCCTATGGAAGCCCCTAAGCCAAAAGAATAGTTAAGCTCTTCCAAAATTTCTGATCTACAGAAACTGTATGAGATAATAAAGGCTTATTATTTCACACATCTTTAACTTTGGAGTAATTTGTTACACTGCAATAGATAACTACTCAAGCAGTAAAGGTAGAAAGTGAACCTGGGGCATCTTGTTTCCCAAGAAAACAAGAAAGTAATTAAAAAAGAAGAAGATATGTGAAAAGGACAATAAATTAGTATGAAGGGGCTTATCACTAGTCAAAGGTGGGACAGCACATAATTTAAAGACTATTAAGGAAAATTTCAGAAACATTCAAAAGCAGAACAATAACCATTAGCCCTGTCATTCTTGTTTCATTAATTCTCCTGCAGTTTCTTTTTTTTCCCCCAAGGCATTTTAGGGCATGTCCTTGCACATTTGTCCCTTGAATAACACAGTTTGGAACTACATGGTTCATTTATATACAGATTTTTTTCAATAAACATATTGGAAAATTTTTTGGAGATTTGCAACAATTAAAAAAAAAAAAAACTTGCAGACAAGCCATGTAGCCTATTGGAAAATCAAAGCAAATTTAGATTCATCATGATGTATAAAATATATGTAGATATTTAACATTCACTACTGTAAAATATATACGAATCTATTGTAAGAACTTAACATTTATTAAAACTTACACACACACTTACAGGCTGTACATGGCACCATTTGCACATGACAGCAATGTGAATAAAGATACAGTATTATGGCTGGGAGTGGTGGCTCACGCCTGTAATCCCAGCACTTTGGGAGGCTGAGACAGACAGATCACTGGACATCAGGAGTTCAAGAGCAGTCTGGCCAACATAATGAAACCCCAACTCCAGTAAAAAATATAGGCCGAGCATGGCGGCTCACGCCTGTAACCCCAGCACTTTGGGAGGCTGAGGCGGGCGGATCATGAGGTCAGGAGATGGAGACCATCCTGGCTAATACGGTGAAATCCCGCCTCTACTAAAAATACACGCCTCTACTAAAAATTAGCTGGGCGTGGTGGTGGGCACCTGTAGTCCCAGCTACTTGGGAGGCTGAGGCAGGAGAAGGGCGTGAACCTGGGAGGCGGAGCTTGCAGTAAGCCGAGATCACGCCACAGCACTCCAGCCTGGGCGACAAAGTGAGACTCCGTGTCTAAAAAAAAAAAAGAAAAAAGGCTGGGTGCAGTGACTTACGCCTGTAATTCCAGCACTTTGGGAGGCCGAGACGGGTGGATCACGAGGTCAGAAGATCGAGACCATCCTGGCTAACACGGTGAAACCCCGTCTCTACTAACAATACAAAAAATTAGCCGGGCGCAGTGGCCGGCGCCTGCAGTCCCAGCTACTCAGGAGGCTGAGGCAGGAGAATGGCCTGAACTCGGGAGGCGGAACTTGTAGTGAGCCGCTATCGCGCCACTGCACTCCAGCCTGGGGGATAGAGTGAGACTCCGTCTCAAAAAAAAAAGAAAAAAAAATACAAAAACTAGTGGGGTGTGATGGCACGTGCATGTAATCCCACCTGCTCAGGAGGCTGAGGCAGGAGAATCGCTTGAACCCGGGAGGCAGAGGTTGAAGTGAGCTGAGATCACACGACTGCACTCCTGCCTGGGTAACAGAGCGAGACTCCATCTCAAAAAAAGAAAAAAAAAGAAAAAAAAAGATATCGCATTAATCATAAGTGTACAGAATCAACTATAGTATACATTCCACTACAATAATATTGTACACATCTACTGTTGCTATTGCAGTGAGCTCAAGTATTGCCAAGTATTTACTAAAAAAGTCCCATGACACTAATC